GATTGGGGGGGGGGGGGCGATCGCCCCCCCTCGCCCCCCCTCGCCCCCCCTTGGCTACGCCACTGCATTTGTGCAGTTCTTAAAACTCAAATGTGCAGTCACCAAATTAACAAAAATATAACCTCAAAACAGTCTTCTCATTTACTCGTTTTCCTTGTGGATGCTCCAGGGAGAGGTTTTCTGGGAGAGGACCACCAGACCCTCATATTTTCCTCACAAATCACATATGTGCTGGGGTAATAGAACAGGATGTAAAATTGGCGCGAGCCAAGCTATCCAAAAGAGATTAGAGTGGGAGAACCTAATCTGATTCTTCGCTGCGTAAGGTTATTATATATTGAGTATTCATGATTCCCAGTTACATGTTTGAAACAGTTTTTGTGGGTGGTTGGGTGAAACAAATCTTTGCCAGAACTTACGAGCCTCTAAATTCCAAATTTTTGGGGACATGCATGCACCCCTTACTTTTAGCAGTCCCCACCCGGCAGTCGAGTTTGTCTGGCCCCACCCAACCACACCTTTATTCTGCCACCTATATACTAATTAAGAGTCTATCATAATTTGCAACGTTAACTATAAATTTACAACGTTAAATATACTGTAGATAAAAATCCTTTGACCCCCAGTCAAACATCGTTGACCCCCAGTCAAACACGTGATGCTTCGTAACATCCCTAATATGTGCAGTTCTAAACTTTTCTTGAAAATAAACCCTGATCAGAAGACAACTCATGTTAACAGTCCAGATAATATTTTTCTCACAATTGTCTCGCTTTCCCATAATACTGTCTTTTGCATTTCTCTACTTATTCGCTTTAAATCTTTCTCATTGTTAAACAGTTCTCTTATATCATTTTTCAATATTTTCATCCCTCCTCCTAAGCAGCCAATCACTGATGGTATGACTTTCACTCTGTATCCTTCCCGCCTTTCCCGCAGTTCAAAACACAGCTGTTGGTACTTTCTTATCTTCTCCTCTTGTTTCACGTTTTTGTTCGACTCATTCGGGCACGCCATATCTATTAGGGTAATCTCTTTCTTTTCGCTGTCCTCAAGCGTCAGATCGGGTTTCCTGGTCGTGCAACTCGTCCTCATTCTATGTCCCCAATCCCAAAATAGCTTCTTCCTATTAATTGTTCCCAATCATTTTTCCTCTCTCCCATCTTTCTGTGTACCACTTTGTTCCTTCTGGTAACAATCCGTTATCAATCGCCCATTGTACCGCCAATACTTTCAACGCGTTATTATTAATATAATACATTAATTCATAATTGATTACATAGAGAATAATACATGGGTGCGCGGAAATACCAGATTTATTTCGAGTGTTGAACATGATATCCCACGAGTGAGCGCAGTGAACGAGTGAGATATCATGTTCAACACGAGAAATAAATCTGGTATTTCCAAACACCCAAGCATGTATTTTTCTGTTTATTATATAAAGGACAGTCTTTGAAAAGCGATAATTTTTACAGAAAAGTATTCTTATAGTATGATAATACGAGGCACGCTCTTTGAGTGGTTATAACAATACAAATTTTAATATCCATGGAATGCTAGCTATAGACAAGTGACGTCGCATAAATAATGACGTCAGGTTATTACATCCCTCCCTTGTTTTGAATGGAAGTTCGTCGGGCATTGTTCATATGAAGTAATTTGAACTAATTAAAACCAATGATCTGAAATGAAGTATATATATTTAGTAACAAAACATAGTTAGTTTAAATATTGTTAATGCTGATATTCAATGTTTAGGCGTTCTGGGGGTCTCCTATTTTCTCTTGTGGGATAACGCCTAATTTCCGCAGGATGGTCCGGTGTTGGAATGTTGATGTCCTCATCGTCAAAAGGGTCTGCTGCATGATCTTGTTGATGTGTGGTGATGGTGATTTTCTTGAACTGCGAGCTGTTTCTTGTTATGTAGCTGGTTGTGTTTCTTGCCGTTATCATACTACCTTTGATCTTGACGACAGTTTCTTAAAGGGGCTTCGGTGGCGAAGTGGTTAGCGCACTTGCCTTTCACCTCTAAAGGCCGTTTTCCACTAGGCGGAATTTTGCGCGCGGAGCGGAATTTTTCTTTGTCTTGTGATTTCTCGGGTGGAACTAATTAGAAAAGACAAAGAAAAATTCCGCTCCGCGCGGAAAATTCCGCCTAGTGGAAAACGGCCTTAAGGCCGCAGGTTCGAATCTCAGTGAGAGCTTCTCAATGTGACTCGAACCCAGTCCTCATGTGAAAAGAGTAAAAAAGTCAACGCTCTGCCGAAAGTCGTGGGTTTTCTCCGGGCACTCCGTGTTTCCTCCCACAGGGAAAGTTGACAGGGTGGGTTAGGCACATAGGATAGGTCTGGAGGCAGATCATTAATGAGGTATGGACTAATAGCGGCAGCTGCTCAAGCGACATTTGTAAGCTCAAAGTCTACCTCGGTCTGCTTCACGTCAGTCCGGTTCTATCTATCTATTCATAATGTAACCAGTCACTGAAAAGCCCTGATAGGGAGTGTGCTGTGAAATATCTGTATCTGTATCTACAGTGTATGGATGTTTGTTGTACGGTGAGGATAGTTTATTGACGCGTTTTTGACGAACGAGAACAGTGTCACCAACTTGAAGGCTGTGTGGTTTTGCTTTGGCTGCGGTATCTGCATACTCTTTCATCTTTTCCTTCTTTTTGAGATCGATATCGGCGAATTGCGAGCGTGATGGTGACGTGGGGACTACTTCCGGTATCTTGACGGTTAATTTTCGTCCAAAGAGGAGCTCGACAGGGGCAATTCCTGTGGTGGAATGTGGCGTCGCACGGTAGTTTCGGAGGAAAAGAAACAGTTCTTGCTTCCAATTCTTGTTTTCGAGGCGGGCAGCGTGGAGTGGGCAGCGTGGCTTTGGGCCACTCTGGAGTGATCTTTCGGTGGTGAAACCCCATGTATTGCGCGAACTGGGCGAAAGACTGACTTTGAAATGGAGGTCCGTTGTCAGACTTGATTTCTCTAGGAATGCGATGTGTGGATAAAATGCGGTCAAGTTTCGGGATGACGGTATTTGCAGAGGTGGAGCGAACAATCTCAACCTCGGAATAGCGCGATTATTCGTCGATTACCACGAAGAGCATATCGCTGGAGGGAAGAGGGCCACAGAAATCGACAGAGAGTTGTTGCCAAGGGGCCTGTGGTAACTCGGTCATGCGTAGAGGTTCAAATGCCTGTCGAACGACTGTTGCCTGACAGGCGAGACAGGTGTCAATTAGCTTTTTCGTAAGCCCATCGATTCCAGGGAACCAAATCTTTTCGCGGAGCAGCTGTTTGGTTTTGGTAATGCCTTGATGACCTTCATGGGCGATGTGGAGAGCACGTTGACGAAGGGTATGTGGGAGGATGAGACGGTGAGAGCGAAGAAGGAGATCGTGATCATCAGAAACACTCAGTTCGTCGCGGATATTGTAGAGAGCGTGGAGGTCCTGGGAGTTGACAAGGGGACTGGGTGTCTCAAACGTTGAGTGCCAGGAGTTGTTACGGAGGGCTTCGATGACGGCTTGCGGAGTGGGGTCGGCACGGGTGGATTGTACCACTTCAGAAACGGTCATAGCTTTTGGGGTGGTATGATCTGCTAAGAACGCGATATATTCTTCAGCCTGGTCGGATGCAGTGGAAGGGTGGGTTGTAGCTAGAGGGTGACATAATCAGCGGGGTTGGTTTTGCCAGGTGAATAGGAAATGGTGAAGTGATATGGTTGAAGCTTGAGGGCCCAGCGTTCTAATCGGGCATTGGAACGAGCAGCGGGATTGGAAAAGATGCGTTCAAGAGGTTTGTGATCTGTGATGACGTTGAATTTCGCGCCGTATATGTAAAGATGAAAATGTTCACAATGTACGGAACTTCGTCGGTACAATAACTCCCAATCTCACTTTTGGTTATTTTACTATTTATTTCATAAAAAGAATCATAAATATAAAGAGAAACTAAAATATAATGTCACTTTGTCTCGATCGCGATAAAAAACCATGCTCTTTGTTTTTGTTGTGTTTCCACTATGTGTTTCCACTATATCCTAAATATTTCGGATTACTAACTTCCGCTCACGCTCCCCTAAAATTATAATAACATAACTAATTTTACGTGCATAATGTTAGCAACAATCTCAACAATGTCCGGGATTTCTTGAGCCCAATGTTTCTCAATGTTAATATATTTGCATAGTCTTTCAACACTAATCAGCATCAGCAGTTAGACGTATCCGTTTACGAGCTGTCTCCGCCGCCTTTCGAGTACTTCTCGGTCGCAGTTGTTGCGTTTCTTTTTTCCTTTGCTCGGGTTGAACTGCTTCGACAGCCTTAATTTCCAACGGGCATATCAGCGTTAAGGGCCTCTTGCGTCGCGTCACAAACGCGTTCAGCTTTCGTTGGAACTCCTCCGCCGTTTGGGATTCCGTGACTTCGAGGTGAACGGCTCTGGATGTTGCACACGTAAAGATGATAATGTAGCATTTACCTTCGTCTCGCTTCGATAACTTGTACCTCAAAGGTCCCGCGAAATCGATCCCTGTCGTCTCGAATGGTCTGCTGCATTCTGTGCGAAATCTCGGTAAATCTGCTGTCGCTGTCGCCCCATACGGTTTGGCTCTAAATACTTTACATCGGATTGCAGATCCAGTACAGCGCCACCATACTGTCCATCCAAACAGTAACAGATGCAATGGGCCACAGCTTCAGGGCAGAAAGGATGTTCTTTACCATATTTGCGGCCATATGCCCACTGACCAACTCCAACCTCGCTGTAGTGGTGTTGCGCTTCGATATTCTACTCTTCGACGTCAGTAGCCCCTTGATCACTCCGCTTGAATGTTCAATCACTGCTATTGTCGCGGCGGAACATGCAACGTTACTAGCATCAGCGAACACATGTATATGTACTTTATTAATCTT